GGATGATGAAGTGGTCTGTAGAGTTATCAGAATATTCCATCAAGTATGAGCCGAGAGGAGCAATCAAAGCTCAAACGCTAGCTGACTTCGTGATGGAACTAACCTCACCGGCTGAGGAAGACAGTATTGAAGAGACACAGTGGATCCTATCGGTGGATGGAGCCTCGAACCTTGGAGGAAGTGGAGCGGGGATCGTCTTGGAAGGGCCGGGAGGTATTTTGTTGGAACAATCATTGCGATTTGAATTCCGAGCAAGCAATAACCAGGCCGAATACGAAACGTTGTTGGCCGGTATGGCATTGGCGAAGGAAATGGGGGCGACGAGTTTATCAACACGAAGTGACTCCCAACTGATCACGGGGCAGGTAGCCGGCACCTTCCAGGCAAAGGACCCTCAACTGGCTAAGTACCTGGAAAAGGCTAAGCTCTTATCGGAAAATTTTCGAGAGTTCACACTTAACCACGTACCACGAGAACAAAATTCGAGGACCGACTTGCTCTCCAAGCTTGCAAGCACGAAGAAGCCAGGAGCTACTCGGTCAGTTATCCAAGAGACGCTAGCACAACCAAGTATAAACGAGGCGCAAGAGAACGTCCTATTCATCCAGGAAGAGCTTAATTCGTGGATGGGACCGTACATCGCATATCTAACTTGGGGGGAATTACCGGGAGACAAAAGGGAGGCATTTTTGGTGCAAAGGGAGTCGGCCAGGTTCGTAGTCATCAACGAAAGACTGTACCGAAGGGGCTTTAGCTCTCTTCTCTTAAGGTGTTTGACCATGTCGCAAGCACAGAGAGTGATGGAGGAGGTACATAGTGGAATGTGCGGAAGTCATATCGGAGGCCGAGCTCTGGTGTACAAAGTTGCCCGCGTAGGGTACTTTTGGCCATCCTTGAGGAATGACTGCGTCAACTAGGTCCAAAAGTGTGACGGATGCCAAAGACACGCAACCTTGCACCATTCCCCAGCTGAACGGCTGCATTCAATATTATCCCCCTGACCTTTCCACAAGTGGGGGATTGATATTCTCGGTCCATTTCCGATCGCAGTAAGGCAAATGAAGTTCTTGATAGTAGCTGTTGACTACTTCAGAAAATGGATCGAGGCGGAGCCAGTTGCAACCATCTCAGCAGAGAAGGTTAGAGCGTTTCTTTGGAAGAACGTGGTGTGCAGGTATGGAGTTCCTCAGATGCTCGTGTTCGATAATGGGACACAGTTTGCAAGTACGAGAGTCCGTGTTTTCTGTAAAGAGGTCTGCATCCGAATGGCATTTACTTCCGTTGAACACCCACAATCTAACGGCCAGGCAGAGTCGGCCAACAAGGTAATCCTTTCAGGTTTGAAGAAGCGTGTCCAAGACTCAGGCGCTTCTTGGGTGGAGGAGTTACCCAGAGTGCTATTGTCATACCACACGACTGTTCATTCGTCGACCCAGGACACTCCTTTCAATGTAGTATACGGAATAGACGCCATGATCCCGATTGAAATTGCAGAGCCATCAGTACGTACTACAGCTTTTTCGAAGGAGGAATCCGACCAGGGAAGACGAGTGGACTTGGATTTAATCACAGAAACAAGAGAGAGAGCAAGGATAAATCAAATAGCAGCCCAGAGACGAGCAACCTTCAAGTACAATACAAAAGTCATCCCCAGAGACTTCGTTGTAGGAGACCTCGTGTTGAAGCGTGCTCAGCTAACTCAGATGAGAAACAAGTTATCACCTAAGTGGGTCGGCCCCTACAAAATTGATGATGTGGTAGGCAAAGGAGCTTATTGACTGAGGACCTTGGATGGAGGGATGATACCGAGGACGTGGAACGCTGCAAATTTGCGTTTTTACTATAGCTAGTCTCTTTATCCATTTGTATTAGGTGCACTCTTTTTCTAACTCAGTATTTTGTCCCCGTAAAAATATGAGGGCTTTTTGCTGAGAAGGTTTTTAACGAGGCACCACCCTTTCAATTCTAATAAATGTCATCTCATTGTTTTCTTTCATGACTCCTAACATGTGTTATTTTAAAGGCACAAACTCATGATTGTCGGCCAAAGTCCGACTGGACGAGTATAAAAAACTCGAAGACAAACTCGTGATTGTCGGCCAAAGTCCGACTGGGCGAGTATAAAAAACTCGAAGACAAACTCGCGCTTGTCGATTATGTTTGTCGGGATTTAACCGACTATATTCACCATTTGATTATTTGATTTTCTATGCATTGTGATGGTCGGGATTTGACCGACTATATTCACCGTTTGGTTATTTTAACTCACTGTTATGGTCAGAATTTGACCGATTGTACTCACTGTTAGAAAAAATTTGTTATTTTTCTAGTCGGAATTTGATGGGTCGTCGAAGCTTCGGCTTGTGTTCCTACGAGGATTGCTCGGGGTTTAGTACGTGTTGTGCGTAGTGCTCGGCGTGGGGCTCGGGTGCGTTTTTGGTCGTCGACCGATCGTTGATCGGTGTCGTCGCCGTCGATATGGCGCTCGGCCCAGGCACATCCTTAGCCGAGGAGGGTACTCGGGAGGGAAACCTGGGGTGCAAGTGCACGTTTCAAACTTGACCGAGGATTGCTCAGGGTTTGGTACGCGTTGTGCGTAGTGCTCGGCCTGGGGCACTTGTTGGCCGGTATGGCATTGGCGAAGGAAATGGGGGCGACGAGTTTATCAACACGAAGTGACTCCCAACTGATCACGGGGCAGGTAGCCGGCACCTTCCAGGCAAAGGACCCTCAACTGGCTAAGTACCTGGAAAAGGCTAAGCTCTTATCGGAAAATTTTCGAGAGTTCACACTTAACCACGTACCACGAGAACAAAATTCGAGGACCGACTTGCTCTCCAAGCTTGCAAGCACGAAGAAGCCAGGAGCTACTCGGTCAGTTATCCAAGAGACGCTAGCACAACCAAGTATAAACGAGGCGCAAGGGAACGTCCTATTCATCCAGGAAGAGCTTAATTCGTGGATGGGACCGTACATCGCATATCTAACTTGGGGGGAATTACCGG